TGTTACCTTCTACACACCTTAATGGTCACTTCATCAGTGTTACCTGTTACCTTCTACACACCTTAATGGTCACTTCATCAGTGTTACCTGTTACCTTCTACACACCTTAATGGTCACTTCATCAGTGTTACCTGTTACCTTCTACACACCTTAATGGTCACTTTATCAGTGTTACCTTCTACACACCCTTATGGTCACTTCATCAGTGTTACCTGTTACCTTCTACACACCTTAATGGTCACTTCATCACTGTTACCTTCTACACACCTTAATGGTCACTTCATCAGTGTTACCTGTTACCTTCTACACACCTTAATGGTCACTTTATCAATGTTACCTGTGACCTTCTACACACCTTAATGGTCACTTTATCAATGTTAGCTGTGACCTTCAAAACACCTTAATGGTCACTTCATCAGTGTTACCTGTTACCTTCTACACAGCTTAATGGTCACTTCATCAATGTTACCTGTTACCCACCTTCTACTCACCTTAATGGTCACCTCATCAGTGTTACCTGTTACCTTCTACACAGCTTAATGGTCACTTCATCAATGTTACCTGTGACCTTCTACAAACCTTAATGGTCACTTCATCAGTGCTACCTGTTACCTTCTACACACCTTAATGGTCACTTCATCAGTGTTACCTGTTACCTTCTACACAGTTTAATGGTCACTTTATCAGTGTTACCTTCTACACACCCTTATGGTCACTTAATCAGTGTTACCTGTTACCTTCTACACTGCTTAATGGTCACCTCATCAGTGTTACCTGTTACCTTCTACACAACTTAATGGTCACTTTATCAGTGTTACCTGTTACCCACCTTCTACACAACTTAATGGTCACTTCATCAGTGTCACCTGTTACCTTCTACACACCTTAATGGTCACTTTATCAGTGTTACCTGTTACTCACCTTCTACACAGGTATAACTCCTCAAGCCACCAGGTTACAGTCTGCGGGGTCAACATCATCAGGACAACCACAAGTACGGCCTCCGTTGGGTGTAGGCAGACATAGGTACTGGCAGCCACCATTGTCCCGAGCACAGGCATTAATAGCTATAAGGTAAGAGTGGAAATAGATGAAGAGACATCAGTTTCAGATATAAGTATTTCTAAGCAAGCTTTAATATTTGTAATATTATTCTCTCCAGTATATAACCATAATTTTTGTGATGATCATTTTATTAAGTAGGTTGCGTACCTCGTGGACAGGAAGCTCGGACAGCTGCTATACCGTACAGCTTTCCATTTCCTCCAACAGGCAAATCTAGTGGGTCAGCCACCTGTCCCCCGGTGTGACTAACCCTCAGCACTCCTGGACTGTGGAAAAATACACTCACACATTAAAGTGGTGACAGAGGGTATACAGCCTAACAAGGATCTTCACACTCAGATGTAATAATTAACCTAAGTTTAATTTACTGGAATCATATATAAATTCTCACGAGATTTCTTTTCTTATCATGGATATTCACCACCTAACTGTGAGTTATCTCCCTTGACTTAATAATTCAATTTCTAGCAGATTTAAGTCTCAAGCTGATCTTTCCTGTCAGACGTGTCCACTTCACTTTCAAATGTCCTTCAAGTACATTTCAGGGCAACATAAATGATATCATTTCAATGTAGACAGGAAGAACTAAATACTTTAAAGGTTCCTTCTCTAGATTCAACTTTTACAAGGCCTTATCTGGTAACAAATATACATAGGATAATTGGAAACTGTTACTGTATACTTGAGATGTTAAGTTTATTTTTAGTAATAAATCGGAGGCAAGGGGAGTGTCAGTATCTAGATGATAGTTGTCCAGTCAAGGATAATGATTTGATCACTCACACTGTCCAGTCTGACCAGTAAATGTTGTTGCTGACCATTGCTAGGTCAAATGGATAAGCAGCATTATCTACAATGGTTTTCCTTCCTATCCCGTCTGATCGTATACATTCTATTTTCCTTACTCCTGAAACAAAATCAGCAATTTTATTAGAAAAACAGAAAGACAAACACATGTTTAAAGAATAACTCTGGGAAGAGCTTTTGATTGTTTTCCAATTTCCTGGTAATAAAAAAACCCTAACCAAAACAAATTTCAACATTTGACCAGCTAGAGCTGTAACATGAACAGTTGTCAAAAAATATTTTGTGTTTTAGGAGTAAAATAAAAAATATCCTAGCTAATCATTGGCCAAGATGCTGGCTACAAATGATATCAAACATATTTCCCCAAAATAACCTAGACTTGTTCATGACGGAGATATACATGTACATCAAAGCTGACAATGCAAGTTAAGAACCCTCGCAGTGCCACACAAACAATAGTTCTTATCAAGACATCTCCTCAAGGAAGCTTGAGGACAACAGGCTGCTATCACTTCAGACAAGCTGTTCTGGATTCTATGTAACCAGTTAAATCTTTGATCCATTTTATATTATAAGTTAAGTTTGTATGTACAGGGTAAGATATAAAAGCTCTGTGAAAAAATTAAAAGTGAATTGGTTGTATTTGGTTATATTTATGTGTACTTTATGCAAGTAACAGTGAGAGGGTCAGTTACTATGTAATACATCAACAACATTGGTATTGTGCTGCCTGATGATCAGGCTATGTGTTGATGAAGTCAGGTATATTGTTTGCATGTGCTTTATAATTATTAATTTGTACTGTCCACTTTAAGTTTGTTGCAGATCTAAACTACCCACTTCCTGCACCAGTTGTCTGCCTATGTTACCTGCATCTCCCCAGCAGACCTGTTGTGTGTGGAAGTCGATAGTGAGACCATTAGGTAGTCCCAGGTCTGAGTCCACCAAAACCTTCCTGTCCTCCCCGTCCATGTATGCCATCTCTATCTTAGCTCCAGCCCGGTCCCAGTCTGCCCAGTACATCATACTGAAACAAAGGTCACACAGGTTACTATACTGAAACAAAGGTCACATAGTATATACTGAAACCAAGGCCACACAGTACACTAAAACAGAAGTTAAAGTCACACAGTACAATACACTGAGACAAAAGGTCACACAGTGCACTACACTGAAACAAATGTCACAAAGAACCATATACTGAAATAAAGGTCACATATTACAATATACTGAGACAAAGGTCACACAGTGCACTATACTGAAACAAGTCACATGGTACAATACATTGAAACAAAGGTTACACAGTGCACTATACTGAAACAAAGGTCACATAGTATATACTGAAACCAAGGCCACACAGTACACTAAAACAAAAGTTAAAGTCACACAGTACAATACACTGAGACAAAGGTCACACAGTGCACTATACTGAAACAAAGGTCACAAAGAACCATATACTGAAATAAAGGTCAGGTACATATGTAGTACAATATACTGAAAAAAAGGTCACGCAGTACAATATACATGTACTGAGATAAAGGTCACACAGTACACTATACATGTACTGAGATAAAGGTCACACAGTATAATACGCTGAAACAAATTAAAGGTCACACAGTACAATATACTGAAACAAAGGTTACTCAAAGGTCACACAGTGTACTGCACTGAAACAAAGGTCACCAAGCATTCTATATTGAAACAAAGGTCACACAGCACACTGCAATAAAACAGAGGTCACATAGTACACAATACTGAAACAAAAGTCATACAGCACAGTACAACACTAATATACAGATCACATAGCATACAACAGTTAAACAAAGGTCGCACAGTACAGTACAACACTAATATACATATCACATAGCATACAACAGTTAAACAAAGGTCACACAGCACAACACTAATATACAGATCACATAGCATACGACAGTTAAACAAAGGTCACACAGCACAACACTAATATACAGATCACATAGCATACAACAGTTAAACAAAAGTCATACTTATATAGATCAGCATTTAATGTTACACTAGTCTGTATACATAACATGTACTATAGTCTAGTATTCACGTAGTGTGGTAATTATAACTCACCCTTTAGATGGGTCGAGGACAATGCTCCTGGGGTTGACAAGGTTACCCTGGATGACAGCCTTTTTGTAGGTGCCATCTAGTCTGGAGGCGGAGATCACATCCAGTCCAGAATCTGTCCAGTACAGGTTCCTGGACAACCAGTCAACAGCAACACCTTCTGGTGAGCTCAGGTCTAGTGTAATATATAGAAGTACTCTTATAAAGTGATTAAAATGAACTTAGAAAAGGCCCAACATTTGAAATGTTACTGTTCATTAGAGAAAATGGGGGCCAGATTTCTTAACCTGAGTTTTGTTCACCTAGGAATGCTTCATTCAAGTCAAATTAGGTGAAAATTCCTTCATTCATAATTAAGGAGTAATCTTTTAAAGATTTATGCTGATTCTTTCTATTAGGTTGTGTCAGTGTAACCTCAGGGAAACCATACCCTTCATTTATACAACATTGAATTCCTATGGCCATGGATAACCCAAGAAAAAGTTGATGGCAGAGAGATGACATACTACATGAGACTATATGGCACCTTTTGGTCACGTCAGTGAACAAAAAATGTCATTAAACCAAGTAGTTTTTAAGATTCATAACTAACCATTATAAGATCATTAGTTTTGAAATTCCCTTCATAAACTATAGTTAATTCATAAACAAAAATAAATAAATTTATCTTTAAAAATATGTAAATTTGTTGTAATGTTTCCTCTGAGCTAACCTGTTATAACAGGAGTAGAATCTGTTCCGTCCAGGTTAGCACGATGTATCTGTCCATTGCTGACATCAGTCCAGTACATGGTCCTGTCCTCACAGTCTGAGTCGATCCCTATGGCAAGCTGACCTACAACATAATCATCCCAGCATCCTTTCAGCAAACTTTCATTTAATGGAACACATTGGAATAATTGTTTAGATATTTTTTACCAGGATAATACATGGTTCTCTCCTAACAAAGGACAACACTGGGAGCTACATGACACTGCCATATCAAGATACAACTTCATTTCAGTAAACTTTCATTTAATGATTTAAATTTGATTAATGGTTTGATCTATAAAAAAGGCTAAAATGAAGAATTTTCTCTTCAAATACTTCAGGCAACTCCTTACCTGGGATAGAAATGACCCTGTCAAGAGAGACAACTCCTTACCTGGAATAGAAATGACCCTGTCAAGGGAGACAGCACCTTACCTGGAATAGAAATGACCCTGTCAAGGGAGACAACTCCTTACCTGGAACATAAATGACCCTGTCAAGGGAGAGGGAGACAACTCCTTACCTGGAACATAAATGACCCTGTCAAGGAAGACAAATCCTTACCTGGAACATAAATGACCCTGTCAAGGGAGAGGGAGACAACTCCTTACCTAGAACATAAATGACCCTCTCCTTTCGAGGGAGACAACTCCTTACCTAGAACATAAATGACCCTGTCCTACCGAGGGAGACAACTCCTTACCTAGAACATAAATGACCGTGCCTTACCGAGGGAGACAACTCCTTACCTAGAACATAAATGACCGTGCCTTACCGAGGGAGACAACTCCTTACCTAGAACATAAATGACCGTGCCTTACCGAGGGAGACAACTCCTTACCTAGAACATAAATGACCGTGCCTTACCGAGGGAGACAACTCCTTACCTAGAACATAAATGACCGTGCCTTACCGAGGGAGACAACTCCTTACCTGGGACATACAGGATCCTTTTCCCTTGGTCGTCCTCCTTAGGCATGTAGGGTATCCGGTGGATTGAATATCCTCGGGAAAATAGCAAGAAGTTGTTGTCATCATCCATTGCTGGAAAAGAAAAACAATTATAGAGGCATAATTTTTATCACTAGTAACAAATCCAAACAAATGTTAATTAATATTACTACAGCTAAAGTTTTAAAGAAAAATCCTCTTGAACTTTCTACAAATATAATGAAACAGGGAAATCATTTTTTTGACTGATCACATCTACATTCCTTAATATAAAAAAATAACCAGTTATCCAACAGGTGACAAAAGCTCTCATTATGTCCTAGATGACCTGCTATACAGTGATACCTATCTCTATGGAAATTCTCATCACACACACAGACAACAATCCTTTACAGCAACGCCCATCTCTATGGAAATTCTCATCACACACAGAGACAACAATCCTTTACATCAACGCCCATCTCTCTGGAAATTCTCATCAAACACACAGACAACAATCCTTTACAGCAACGCCCATCTCTATGGAAATTCTCATCACACACACAGACAACAATCCTTTACATCAACGCCCATCTCTATGGAAATTCTCATCACACACACAGACAAAAATCCTTTACAGCAACGCCCATCTCTATGGAAATTCTCATCACACACAGAGACAACAATCCTTTACATCAACGCCCATTTCTATGGAAATTCTCATCACACACACAGACAACAATCCTTTACAGCGACGCCCATCTCTATGGAAATTCTCATCACACACACAGACAACAATCCTTTACATCAACGCCCATTTCTATGGAAATTCTCATCACACACACAGACAAAAAGCCTTTACAGCAACGCCCATCTCTATGGAAATTCTCATCACACAAAGAGACAACAATCCTTTACATCAACGCCCATCTCTACAGAAATTCTCATCACACACACAGATGACATACCTAATTACAGCGACACCCATCTCCACAAAAATTCTCATCACACACACAGATGACATACCTATACAGCGACACCCATCTCCAAGGAAATTCTCATCACACACACAGATGACATACCTAATTACAGCGACACCCATCTCCACAGAAATTCTCATCACACACACAGATGACATACCTATACAGCGACGTACATCTCCAAGGAAATTTTCATCACACACACAGATGACCTACCTATACAGCGACCCCCATCTCCACAGAAATTCTAATCACACACACAGATGACCTACCTATACAGCGACGCCCATCTCCAAAGAAATTCTCATCACACACACAGATGACATACCTATACAGCGACACCCATCTCCACAGAAATTCTCATCACACACACAGATGACATACCTATACAGCGACGCCCATCTCCAAGGAACTTCTCATCACACACACAGATGACCTACCTATACAGCGACGCCCATCTGCACGGAAATTTTCATTACACACACAGATGACCTACCAATACAGCGACGCCCATCTCCACGGAAATTTTCATTACACACACAGATGACCTACCAATACAGCGACGCCCATCTCCACGAAAATTTTCATTACACACACAGATGACCTACCTATACAGCGACGCCCATCTGCACGGAAATTTTCATTACACACACAGATGACCTACCTGTACAGCGACGCCCATCTCCACGGAAATTTTCATTACACACACAGATGACCTACCTATACAGTGACGCCCATCTCCACTGAAATTTTCATTACACACACACATGACCTACCTATACAGCGACGCCCATCTCCACGGAAATTTTCATTACACACACAGATGACCTACCTATAAAGTGACGCCCATTTCCACGGAAATTTACATTACACACACAGATGACCTACCTATACAGCGACGCCCATCTCCACGGAAATTTTCATTACACACACAGATGAAGGTGTCGACATTGAGGACACATGCAGCATTCGGGTCACAGATGCGGGGGTCACTGCGGCAGTTGTAACCTGCCAAAATGAAATGGTTGCAACAATGATGACACTTAACACAGTTCTGGTAATTGAACAATTGGTAAATTATCAATTAACAGTTTGATAAATAATGTAACCAGTTGTATTAAAATGAAATATAATGAACCCCTCCCCATATATAGAAGAACACAAAAAAAAATGATATTGCGAACAATTTTTGTAACCTATTTTTCCCTTTCTTTCCCATAAGTTTTTCACACAGATATTTCAGTTTTTCACAACACAGATCTTAGTTGTTTTCCCGATATATTTTGTTTTCCCAACAAAGAGCTTCAGTTTTCAAAACATATATCTTAGTTTCCACCCTCTCATCATCCCCCTTCAGCTATTTTCATGACAGCAGTGTTCAGGAGAATAAAAGTAATATATTGTAGATGATTAAAACTATTGAAATCATAGTGATACGGAATGGTACCTCGTGGTCTACAGGTGAAACCATTGCCTTCGTAACCGGAGGAGCAGCGACACCGATACGACATCTCATCAGGATTGTACACACACTCAGCATTCTGACCACAGTTAGATACTTGGTTACATGGAGTCACTAGAAAACACAAAAGTTTCGAATATAAACACATAAAAACCTCCCAGAAATTCTTGGATGACATAACGTTCATTAGCAATATAATTAACTGATGAACCATTAAACAAATTTCAAAGTAGCTGTAGACATATTATTCAAGTAGTGTCTTCTTAATAACTTTATCGCTTAAACATTTGTTATTTTGTAATCTGAAAGAGTTTAAGATATGCAGACCAACTGCCACCTGATTGTTTTTTATCCATGGTAAATAAAGTAACATTGAAATCTAGATTAATGTAACAAATGCCTAAAAAACCCAAGAAAGTTAAATATCTCTACAATGTTGGCTGAAGATGTACCTCTCTGTCTGCATGTCATGCCATCGCCCTCATATCCAGGGTTACAGCGACACATGTAACGGCTATCAACTCGTGGATCAGGAACACACTGGGCATTGTTATTACAATTCCCCGTCACACTACAATCGTCAGGCTGACAGACAGTACCGTCACCTGTGGAGTGAAACATTTATATACCTGGGGTACATACTTTATATTTATATACATTAATATACATACTATATATTTATATACAATTATATACATACATATGTACTATATATTTATAAACATTTATATACATACTATATATTTATATACATACTATATATTTATATACAAACAATATATTTGTATACATACTATATATTTATAAACAATTATATACATACATATGTACTATATATTTATAAACATTTATATACATATCATATATTTATATACCTACTATATCATTATATACAAACTATATATTTATATACTTAAATCAAATGACGCTCACACGCTTTATAATTGCTCTGAATTTAAAATATAATATACAAATGGTATGCATCATAATTACGCTATCTATTGATAAATGTTTTAATCTAAATTTCATTGTACAATACAATGTACTAGATTATGACCATAACAGTCTCGTACAAACTGACTAACCTGTGTAGCCATTTCTACACAAACATCTGAATCCTCCAAAGATCGTGTCATTGAAACAGTCTGCGTACATGTGGCAATTCTGTATGGTGCGGCAATCTGATTGGGTACAGAGGAAGCCATCCCCTGTGTAACCCTGGGAACACTGGCAGGTATACTGACGGGCAAACTCATCAAACACACATCGGGCATTAGGATGGCAGTCAGTACACTGGTCTGGTACAGCTGTAACAAATAGACGTACAAAACTACACTGGTCTGGTACAGCTGTATCAAATAAACGTACAAGACACATTGGTCTGGTACAGCTGTATCAAATTGACTTACAAGACACACTGGTCTGGTACAGCTGTAACAAATAGACATAAAAAACAACATTGGTATGGTACAGCTGTAACAAATAGACATACAAAACTACATTGGTATGGTACAGCTGTATCAAATAGACATACAAAACTACACTGGTCTGGTACAGCTGTAACAAATAGACATAAAAAACTACATTGGTATGGTACAGCTGTATCAAATAAACGTACAAGACACACTGGTCTGGTACAGCTGTATCAAATAGACGTAAAAAACAACATTGGTATGGTACAGCTGTATCAAATAGACATACAAGACTACACTGGTCTGGTACAGCTGTATCAAATAGACGTACAAGACACACTGGTCTGGTACAGCTGTATCAAATAAACGTACAAGACTACATTGGTATGGTACAGCTGTATCAAATAGACGTAAAAAAAACCCCACTGGTCTGGTACAGCTGTATCAAATAGAGGTAAAAAAAACTACACTGGTCTGGTACAGCTGTATCAAATAGACATACAAGACTACACTGGTCTGGTACAGCTGTATCAAATAGACGTACAAGACTACACTGGTATGGTACAGCTGTATCAAATTGACGTACAAGACTACACTGGTCTGGTATAGCTGTATCAAATAGACATACAAGACTACACTGGTATGGTACAGCTGTATCAAATAGACATACAAGACTACACCGGTCTGGTACAGCTGTATCAAATAGACGTACAAGACTCACTGGTCTGGTACAGCTGTAACAAATAAACGTACACGACACACTGGCCTGGTACAGCTGTATCAAATAGACGTACAAGACACACTGGTCTGGGACAGCTGTATCAAATAGACGTAAAAAACTACACTGGTCTTGTACAGCTGTATCAAATAGACGTACAAGACTCACTGGTCTGGTACAGCTGTAACAAATAGACGAACAAGACACACTGGTCTGGTACAGCTGTATAAAATAGACGTACAAGACACACTGGTCTGGGACAGCTGTATCAAATAGACGTAAAAAAACTACACTGGTCTGGTACAGCTTTATCAAATAGACGTAAAAGACACACTGGTCTGGTACAGCTGTATAAAATAGACGTACAAGACACACTGGTCTGTTACAGCTGTATCAAATAAACGTACAAGACACATTGGTCTGGTACAGCTGTATCAAATTGACGTACAAGTCTACACTGGTCTGGTATAGCTGTATCAAATAGACATACAAGACTACACCGGTCTGGTACAGCTGTATCAAATAGACATAAAAGACTACACTGGTCTGGTACAGCTGTAACAAATAAACGTACACGACACACTGGCCTGGTACAGCTGTATCAAATAGACGTACAAGACTACACTGGTTTGGTACAGCTGTATCAAATAGACGTACAAGACACACTGGTCTGGAACAGCTGTATCAAATAGACGTACAAGACTATAATGGTCTGGTACAGCTGTAACAAATAGACGTACAAGACACACTGGTCTGGGACAGCTGTATCAAATAGACGTAAAAAAAACCCCACTGGTCTGGTACAGCTGTATCAAATAGACGCACAAGACACACTGGTCTGGTACAGCTGTATCAAATAGAAGTAAAAAACTACACTGGTCTGGTACAGCTGTATCAAATTGATGTACAAGACTACACTGGTCTGGGACAGCTGTATCAAATAGACGTAAAAAAACTACACTGGTCTGGTACAATTGTATCAAATAGACGTAAAAAAAATACACTGGTCTGGTACAGCTGTATCAAATGGACGTACAAGACCCCCTGGTCTGGTACAGCTGTAACAAATAGACGAACAAGACACACTGGTCTGGTACAGCTGTATCAAATTGACGTACAAGACTACACTGGTATGGTACAGCTGTATCAAATAGACATACAAGACTACACCGGTCTGGTACAGCTGTATCAAATAGACGTACAAAACTACATTGGTCTGGTACAGCTGTATCAAATTGACATACAAGACTACACTGGTCTGGTATAGCTGTATCAAATAGACATCCAAGACTACACTGGTATGGTACAGCTGTATCAAATTGACTTACAAGACTACACTGGTCTGGTATAGCTCTATCAAATAGACATACAAGACTACACTGGGCTGGTACAGCTGTATCAAATAAACGTACAAGACACATTGGTCTGGTACAGCTGTATCAAATTGACGTACAAGACTACACTGGTATGGTACAGCTGTATCAATTACTGATTGGTGTACATGCATGTCTGGCCGTCCCCTGTATGTGACTTACTGATTGGTGTACATGTCTGGCGTACCCTATATGTGACAGGTGTGACTTACTGATTGGTGTACATGTCTGGCGTCCCCTATATTTGACAGGGGTGACTTACTGATTGGTGTACATGTCTGGCGTACCCTATATGTGTCAGGTTTGACTTACTGATTGGTGTACATGTCTGTCCATACCCTGTATGTGACAGGTATGACTTACTGATTGGTGTACAGGTCTGGCTGTCCCCTGTATGTGACAGGTATGACTTACTGATTGGTGTACATGTCTGGCTGTCCCCTATATGTGACAGGTATGACTTACTGATTGGTGTACACGTCTGGCCGTTCCCTATATGTGACAGGTATGACTTACTGATTGTTGTACACATCTGGCTGTCCCCTATATGTGACAGGTATGACTTACTGATTGTTGTACACGTCTGGCCGTTCCCTATATGTGACAGGTATGACTTACTGATTGTTGTACACATCTGGCTGTCCCCTATATGTGACAGGTATGACTTACTGATTGTTGTACATGTCTGGCTGTCCCCTATATATGACAGGTGTGACCTACTGATTGGTGTACACGTCTAGCTGTCCCCTATATGTGACAGGTGTGTCTTACTGATTGGTGTACATGTCTGGCTGTCCCCTATATATGACAGGTGTGACCTACTGATTGGTGTACACGTCTGGCCATCCCCTATATGTGACAGATATGACTAACTGATTGTTGTACACGTCTGGCTTTCCCCTATATGTGCCAGGTATGACTTACTGATTGGTGAACATGTCTGGCTGTCCCCTATATATGACAGGTGTGACTTACTGATTGGTGTACACGTCTGGCCATTCCCTATATGTGACAGATATGACTTACTGATTGTTGTACTATATATGCTGTCCCCTATATGTGACAGGTGTGACTTACTGATTTGTGTACACGTCTGGCTGTCCCCTATATGGGACAGGTATGACTTACTGATTGGTGAACATGTCTGGCTGTCCCCTATATATGACAGGTGTGACTTACTGATTGTTGTACACGTCTGGCTGTCCCCTGTATGTGACAGGTGTGACTTACTGATTGGTGTACACGTCTGGCCATCCCCAGAATATCCACTGTTACACTGGCAATAATGCACCATTCGTCTTGGGTCAAACAAACACTGGGCATCTGTACTGCACAGGCTGCAATCAGAGTCTGTTAAAGAGAAATAAGAGATTTTTCAATAATTGATGTTTTACAAAATGGTGCCTTGGGTCAGTACAATTGCACTGGTTTTGCTTTTAAACTTTATAAACCACTGAGCACTATGTTAGTCTGTCAGCTACACCGTGCATGTGAGAAACAACCCCTTAAAACATTCATTACTTAAAACTTCAATTGAGTAGTTATGCTTTATTAATTTATTTCAAATGTATTTTCATGTTCATTTGGAATAGCAATGCCAGTGTTATCACGAACAGATTGGTGATGTCACAATAGCTGTCACCTAATGTACCAAAAGTGTCCTTGTATCCCAATACATATTGCACATGTAGCAACAAAACAGTCACTGTACATGTCTAGCTCTAAACCTTACCTCTCATCTTCAAATCTCAACTTTGACAAGCACATTTGTAAATTATATGTTTAATACACAATATTGCTTGTCAAGCATTACTTTGAAAACAATAGCTGAATTCACAGTTAAAAAGATATACCATTACCTATTCCTTGTGCACCTGTGAGTTTCTCACCTATACCCTACACATTTTTTTCTGTACATCTGTGCGTTTCTCACCTATTCTCTGTGCACCTGTGAGTTTTTTACCTATACCCTACACATTTTTTTCTGTACATCTGTGCGTTTCTCACCTATCCCTGTACACATGTGAGTTTCTCACCTATCCCTGTACACGTGTGAGTTTCTCACCTATCCATGTACACCTGTGCACTTTTCACCTATCCCTGTACACCTGTGAGTTGCTCACCTATCCATGTACATCTGTGCATGTTTCACCTATCCCTGTACACCTGCAAGTTTCTCACCTATCCCTGTACACCTGCGAGTTTCTCACCTATCCCTGTACACCTGTGAGTTTCTCACCTATTCCTGTACACCTGTGAGTTTCTCACCTACATCATACCGCTCACACACGGTGCCGTCGCCACTGTATCCTACTTTACATTCACACGTGTACTTTTCCTCCTGGTCGTCGTACACACATTCTGCATCCTGATGACACACGTCAACCTCATTACAGTTAAACTCTGAAAATATACATAACAAGATATATGTGTACACTCTTCTAAGAAATTCTGGATGAAAATCAGTGAGATTTAGATCAAAACAGTGTCTGTGACTTGAGCAAGTGAAGCTTACCAGCAGAGCAGTAGTTGACTCCGTCCCCACGGAATCCCTGACGACATTCACACATAGGCTTGCCTAAGTCACTGTTGTATACACAACGTCCATTCTCATGGCAAACATCGTCCCCACATCGCTGGACCTCACCTTAAACATCAACACAAAATACTCTCATTCATTCTATAAAGTACAAGATAATGTAAAAGGATAAATCATCTTAAAACCAAAGTTACCATATCATAGTGTACACTGGCGCTGGACACCCCCTGTTACATTTTAGACACTAACATTAGGAATAAACATCTGGGTTTGTATAACTTACGTGTACAGGACCGTCCATCGCCACGGTAACCAGATTCACACTGACACTGGAAACTCCCTGGTACATTGTAACAGCGGGCATTCACATCGCAGAGGTCTGCGTAGACACTGCACTCGTCAATATCTGTGGAAAGCAACAAAATGATGACGATAGTACAACAGTGTTCATTATAAGATATTACCAACAGAGTGTTCAATATGAGATAGTACCAACAGAGTGTTCAGTATAAGGTAGTACCAACAGAGTGTTCAATATAAGGTAGTACCAACAGAGCGTTCAATATAAAGTAGTACTAACAGAGTGTTCAATATAAGGNTATAAGGAAGTACCAACAGAGTGTTCAATATAAAGTAGTACCAACAGAGTGTTCAATATAAGGTAGTACTAACAGAGTGTTCAATATATGTAGTACCAACAGAGTGTTCAGTATAAGGAAGTACCAATAGAGTGTTCAATATAAGGTAGTACCAACAGAGTGTTCAATATAAGGTAGTACCAACAGAGTGTTCAATATAAGGTAGTACCAACAGAGTGTTCAATATAAGGTAGTACCAACAGAGTGTTCAATATAAGGTAGTACCAACAGAGTGTTCAATATAAGGTAGTACCAACAGAGTGTTCAATATAAGGTAGTACCAACAGAGTGTTCAATATAAGGTAGTACCAACAGAGTGTTCAATATAAGGTAGTACCAACAGAGTGTTCAATATAAGGTAGTACCAACAGAGTGTTCAATATAAGGTAGTACCAACAGAGTGTTCAATATAAGGTAGTACCAACAGAGTGTTCAATATAAGGTAGTACCAACAGAGTGTTCAATATAAGGTAGTACCAACAGAGTGTTCAATATAAGGTAGTACCAACAGAGTGTTCAATATAAGGTAGTACCAACAGAGTGTTCAATATAAGGTAGTACCAACAGAGTGTTCAATATAAGGTAGTACCAACAGAGTGTTCAATATAAGGTAGTACCAACAGAGTGTTCAATATAAGGTAGTACCAACAGAGTGTTCAATATAAGGTAGTACCAACAGAGTGTTCAATATAAGGTAGTACCAACAGAGTGTTCAATATAAGGTAGTACCAACAGAGTGTTCAATATAAGGTAGTACCAACAGAGTGTTCAATATAAGGTAGTACCAACAGAGTGTTCAATATAAGGTAGTACCAACAGAGTGTTCAATATAAGGTAGTACCAACAGAGTGTTCAATATAAGGTAGTACCAACAGAGTGTTCAATATAAGGTAGTACCAACAGAGTGTTCAATATAAGGTAGTACCAACAGAGTGTTCAATATAAGGTAGTACCAACAGAGTGTTCAATATAAGGTAGTACCAACAGAGTGTTCAATATAAGGTAGTACCAACAGAGTGTTCAATATAAGGTAGTACCAACAGAGTGTTCAATATAAGGTAGTACCAACAGAGTGTTCAATATAAGGTAGTACCAACAGAGTGTTCAATATAAGGTAGTACCAACAGAGTGTTCAATATAAGGTAGTACCAACAGAGTGTTCAATATAAGGTAGTACCAACAGAGTGTTCAATATAAGGTAGTACCAACAGAGTGTTCAATATAAGGTAGTACCAACAGAGTGTTCAATATAAGGTAGTACCAACAGAGTGTTCAATATAAGGTAGTACCAACAGAGTGTTCAATATAAGGTAGTACCAACAGAGTGTTCAATATAAGGTAGTACCAACAGAGTGTTCAATATAAGGTAGTACCAACAGAGTGTTCAATATAAGGTAGTACCAACAGAGTGTTCAATATAAGGTAGTACCAACAGAGTGTTCAATATAAGGTAGTACCAACAGAGTGTTCAATATAAGGTAGTACCAACAGAGTGTTCAATATAAGGTAGTACCAACAGAGTGTTTAATATAAGGTAGTACCAACAGAGTGTTCAATATAAGGTAGTACCAACATAGTGTTCAATATAAGGTAGTACCAACAGAGTGTTTAATATAAGGTAGTACCCACAGAGTGTTCAATATTTGGTAGCACATGTACCAACAGAGTGTTCAATACCGGTACTAGTTTGTCCTGTCTAGCATTCCCTTACCTCGACAAGATCCTCCATCATCCTGAAATCCTGTGAGACAGGAACAGGTGAATGAGGCTCCATCAGGGGTACACTCAGAGTTCTCTCCACAGACCTCGGCAGCATTACGGCATGGATCAGACCCTAAAACACAAGCTTTACAGCTTAAGTCTGCACGGTCAAGGGATTTATAATTTGAAAAATCATTCACAGTTAAGTTCTTAAGATTAAAAGAATAAAGTATGGATTTTCAGTTAGGGTATTTACTTTAGGGGAAATTTACAAAGACGTTTTAGTCAAATTAATTAAAAATGAAGAAACGTACCAGTGAGTGCAGCTATCTGGCTTGTCATGGCGTATCGCAAAATTTCATTGAGATTGTCATAGACGACTCGGTTCCGCTTGCTACTGAGCCTCATGGTATCAAGTCGTGGCTCGGGATCAAAACTACACTCGTTAAACATGATGGTCTGGTTCCACTTGTACTGGTAGGCAACACCGTCCACGAGATATGTTCGTGTGGAGAAGGACGTGATCAGACCTAAATAAACAGGTACATTATCATCCTACATTGAACATCCTCAGGTTGGTGTCAGGGACCAGACAATTTAGATGGTTTTCCACTTTTGTTTCTATTTTTATTTTCATATATTTCCCTAGCAACTTTACAGTTCTACACACGTAAGTCAAAGTATACCGATTTAAGTGAATGTAATCTTTAATAACAAAAACGAAATAGGAAAATTTAAAGTGTACTTAAGATGCATCATATTGTTCCCGAATAAGCATAAATGTTGTGATTTTAGTAATAAGCAAGTTATTTCAAAATTCTCAATTATTAGACAAAATTTAGTTTTCTCACTAACAAAGAATACAAGAACATCATTTATGAAGAGAACCTGAAACATTTCCATCCCATTATTTTGTTAACTGGGCATCTTAAACGGTTTCTTTAAGCACTAAGCTGCTTTCAATCGGCTTCATGGATGAATACCAACAGGAAGTAACAAACTCCATAAAACCTGCTAGCATTTCATGTTTAATTTGTTCTTTTCAGTTGGAATGTATATTGACAGTTAATGCCATCAAAAAGTAGTTTAATACTTATATCTACCATTTATAAAGTAAAATAATCTCATAAAATATGCCTCAATATGTATTGACTTTAAAGTATATATGCTTTCAGACTTAGCTAAATGCAAAAACTTAATGCTGGCATCATCAGAAGGAAACATGAAAGTCCTGTTTTCTTTTCATTTCACAGCCCAGAAAATATCATTTTGAATTCATTAAGCTATTTATTCAAATTCAGGATTAAATTAACTAGAGAGAAGCTCAGAAACTGCGCTTGTAGCGACAGAGATAGCATGGTTCTTAGTAGCACAGTTAACATGGTTCCTAGCTATGGTGACACAGTCAGCATGGTTCGACTAGCTATAGTAACAGTTACCATGGTTCCTTGTGACACAGTTACCATGGTTCCTAGCTATGGTGACACAGTCAGCATGGTTTTTTATGACGCAGTTAACAAGGTCCCAAGTGACACAGTTACCATTGTTTCTTGTGACACAGTTACCATGGTTCCTAGCTATAGTAACAGTTACCATGGTTCCTTGTGACACAGTTACCATGGTTCCTAGCTATAGTGACACAGTTACCATGGTTTCTTGTGACACAGTTACCATGGTTTCTTGAGACACAGTTACCATGGTTCCATGTGACACAGTTACCATGGTTTCTTGTGATTTGATTACTGTGCTTCCATGTAGCAGAGTTACCAGGGTTCTAGTGATACAGGTACTACAATCAATGTTATAGATATTAATGTAGGAAATATACAGTAAACTCAGCGATTCATTATTTACCCTTTCCAGCATGTACAAACTCCTCTTTGTAGTCACCAACTGTAACCTTGCCACCATTTAACACTTCTGGGACAACTCCACTGATGTGTGTCTCAAGGCCAGTCTGATCAAGGGTATCTTGACCAAAGAACTTCTGGTGTAGATTGACCACCTCCCCACTCTGGTATGTGACGACTGCTGTCCTGTTAAACTCCCCACCTGTCGAAAATATGACACATTACAGTTCAGGTAAAACACAGTCAACCTTAGGACATACACATTGATACATTATAACAGCATCCTGTATGGATAAGCATAATGCACTACCATATATACATCATTTCATTGTGTATAAGAATGTACCATATATACATCATTTCATTGTGTATAAGAATGTACCATATATACATCATTTCATTGTGTATAAGAATGTACCATATATACATCATTTCATTGTGTATAAGAATGTACCATATATACATCATTTCATTGTGTATAAGAATGTACCATATATACATCATTTCATTGTGTATAAGAATGTACCATATATACATCATTTCATTGTGTATAAGAATGTACCATATATACATCATTTCATTGTGTATAAGAATGTACCATATATACATCATTTCATTGTGTATAAGAATGTACCATATATACATCATTTCATTGTGTATAAGAATGTACCATATATACATCATTTCATTGTGTATAAGAATGTACCATATATACATCATTTCATTGTGTATAAGAATGTACCATATATACATCATTTCATTGTGTATAAGAATGTACCATATATACATCATTTCATTGTGTATAAGAATGTACCATATATACATCATTTCATTGTGTATAAGAATGTACCATATATACATCATTTCATTGTGTATAAGAATGTACCATATATACATCATTTCATTGTGTATAAGAATGTACCATATATACATCATTTCATTGTGTATAAGAATGTACCATATATACATCATTTCATTGTGTATAAGAATGTACCATATATACATCATTTCATTGTGTATAAGAATGTACCATATATACATCATTTCATTGTGTATAAGAATGTACCATATATACATCATTTCATTGTGTATAAGAATGTACCATATATACATCATTTCATTGTGTATAAGAATGTACCATATATACATCATTTCATTGTGTATAAGAATGTACCATATATACATCATTTCATTGTGTATAAGAATGTACCATATATACATCATTTCATTGTGTATAAGAATGTACCATATATACATCATTTCATTGTGTATAAGAATGTACCATATATACATCATTTCATTGTGTATAAGAATGTACCATATATACATCATTTCATTGTGTATAAGAATGTACCATATATACATCATTTCATTGTGTATAAGAATGTACCATATATACATCATTTCATTGTGTATAAGAATGTACCATATATACATCATTTCATTGTGTATAAGAATGTACCATATATACATCATTTCATTGTGTATAAGAATGTACCATATATACATCATTTCATTGTGTATAAGAATGTACCATATATACATCATTTCATTGTGTATAAGAATGTACCATATATACATCATTTCATTGTGTATTAGAATGTACCATATATACAGCATTTCATTGTGTATAACAATGTACCATATATACATCATTTCATTGTGTATCAGAATGTACCATATATACAGCATTTCATTGCGTATAAGAATCGTACCATATATACATCATTTCATTGTGTATAAGAGTGTATAATATATACAGCATTTCATTATGTATTAGAATGTACCTAGAATTATTAAGGGTACATAATGAGAAAGTGTATGATTCTTATGTCATAAACAATGTCATTTAAAAATTAAATATGTCATAGTCATAGTCATTTATAGACATATCTCTGGTCCTTATGACTAATCTGTATCATGAAATAGTAATGTCAGAGATCATAATGATCATATCCATAATCTTTGTCATTGTAATTATGATACTAAACCGAGATATGATCATGGTTAAAATCTTTGTGATGATAATTTGTGAGGTATTAATCATACAAGTAGTACCCAAAAAGCTGAATTTCAGTAAATGACAATTTCTCTTTGTTCAGTAGTACACACAGTAGCTGTGCAGCATTCCTTACCTGTCAGCATAAAACCGTTGCGGGCCAAGGGACCATTGGGGAGGGCAAACATCCAGCCAATGATTCCCCCTATGGTGTTAAGTGTGAGCATGAGGGCGCCCAGTTCTGGAGAAACTTGACTGATGGCAGTGTAGGCGCGGCCATCAGATGTCACCACATAGGCGTGCATGTCCAGATTGTCAATGGAAATACCATTCAGTGTACCAAACACCTTACCATTCAGTCGCTGAGGAGCTTCTGCAAAGGTATACAACAAATATCAAGAAGAGACAATACCTAAATAGTTTGAAAATAAGTCTGATTCGAGAATAGACTGGCATTGAAATAGCCTTGGATTGCTGTAACATTTATCTCGAAAATAAGCTGACAATATGATAATATTCTATTAACCTTGAAATAGAGCTATGAGCCGCTCTCAGTCCGAAACATATGTGACAGATTATTATCACTTTACATCATTCACTATATATTGTAGTGTGAGTTTTGGATCTGTCTGTGTGTTAAAATAACTTATCAGTTTTTGACGTAATGAACAAGTGGACGAAATTGTTAATCTTTGCCCCATAGAATAAAACATATCTGAAAGCTGTGTGTGTTTTTGCCAAGTTCAATTATTTATTCAAAGGAAATACAAATCATTAGGTGGATTTTCCTCTCATTTAAAAGTTCTATATATATAAATCATAATAAGTGAAATCCTTGTTCATAGCATCGTAGTGATGCAGGCTTCATATGATGTACCATCTAAAAAGCTTTTGCTGACAACTTAGATAGGCCACACACGGCTTACTGTTTAAAAATGGTAACAAAAAATAAAATGGCTTTGAAAAAAAGCAGGCTTCAGAAATAAGCCTTAAGCTCATTAGGTGACAAAGTTAACAAGCTGTGGCTTTTTTTCAAGATTTGAGGGCATTTTAAACAAACTAACATACTCTCAGTTGTACTGAACATAATACTTGTGAAGATATGAAATCTAAGAAATCTGACACTGAGTAAAGTTTGTCGTTAAATTTTCACTGACTTACCAAATTTGAGGCAGTTGCGTCCATTGCCATAGCTGGGTGGGATACAAGCACAACATATGCCATAAGGGAAGTTAAGGCAGCGGGCACTGCTGTGACATTGAGGATGTGTCCCCTCAACCTGACAGGTATCGGACGACGTGTCTGGGTCAAAGATTGTCACTGCAATAGTAAACAGGGTTATAGTGCATGCCTCTAAAATGACCCAATACCTACGTATACCTTCAACTGGGTATTTCACTTTTAGCAAACTAGAAACACAGTACAAATGAAAACAAGAAACTGTAGTCATAGACTGGGAAATAACCTTATTAAGCACTTTTTATAAAAACATGTCAGATATCAAATTAACAATTATGAAAAACATTTTCACATGTCACTGTTTTAATTCATTATCAGGAAAAACATACATGTACAATCCAAACACTAGCTTCATCCTGTCCTGGTCCAAGTGAGTTATCAGCTATAACTTACCATCCCTATTCTCCTGTCCTTGTCCCAGTGTGTGATGCCAGCTATAACTTACCATCCCTATCCTATTGTCCTTGTCCCAGTGTGAGTTATCAGCTATAACTCACCACCTCCATCCTCCTGTTCTGTTCCAAGTGTGAGTTATCAGCTATAACTTACCATCCCTATTCTCCGGTCCTTGTCCCAGTGTGTGATGCCAGCTATAACTTACCATCCCTATCCTCCTGTCCTGCTCCAAGTGTGAGTTGTCAGCTATAACTTACCAGCCCTATCCTGTCACTGTTTTAATTCATTATCAGGAAAAACATACATGTACAATCCAAAAACAAGCTTCATCCTGTCCTGGTCCAAGTGAGTTATCAGCTATAACTTACTAACTTACCATTTCTATCCTCCTGTCCTTGTCGCAGTGTGAGTTGTCAGCTATAGCTCACCACCTTCATCCTCCTGTCCTGGTCCAAGTGAGTTATCAGCTATAACTTACTAACTTACCATTTCTATCCTCCTGTCCTTGTCCCAGTGTGAGTTGTCAGCAATAGCTCACCACCTTCATCCTCCTGTCCTCGTCCCAGTGTGAGTTGTCAGCTATAACTTACCACCTCCATCCTCCTGTCCTTGTCCCAGTGTGAGTTGTCAGCTATAACTCACCACCTCCATCCTCCTGTCCTGGTCCCAGTGTGAGTTGTCAGCTATAACTCACCACCTCCATCCTCCTGTCCTTGTCCCAGTGGGAGTTGTCAGCTATAACTTACCATCCCTATCCTCCTGTCCTTGTCCCAGTGTGAGTTGTCAGCTATAACTTACCATCCCTATCCTCCTGTCCTTGTCCCAGTGTGAGTTGTCAGCTATAACTTACCATCCCTATCCTATTGTCCTTGTCCCAGTGTGAGTTGTCAGCTATAACTTACCA